TATATAAGGCTTAAAGTTTGGTGGCAGGAAATAAAACAATTTGAATTCAATATATCAAAATTTTGAAAAGAAGAAGCAATGAAAACAAAATTATATATAAAAATCAAAGTTGTAACGTACTTCACTTCAGTGTTGTTATGTTTTTTCTTGTCCTCTGTAATCATTGATTCCAGCACTTTTAAGTGTTGAAAATTGATTGAGTACAGCTTAAGTCGGTGCTAGGGGGCGTGAGGGAGGTTGCACTTTTCATTATTGCTCATGAACAGACTAAATCAAGCAAGTCTGCAGTTTTCATGTAACTGCTTTGGACTTACTGTTACTGTTTAAAATTAATTTTAAAATAATCAGTTTTTAAACTTCCATTCATATGCTTAATGTATTAAATGTGGTTCATAATCCACAATGACCCATTTTAAATAAACCTTACAATTAATTTGTTTATAATAAACATCTTTAAATGTCTATGCAATGCAGTAACTTCGATACTTAAAATTAAAATTAGTGCAAAAACTATGGTAAGTGTACTTACATCACTTTTTGCATTTGAAATCACAGTGCAAAAAGTCTAGTAAGTGTAGAAGAATGTCTTATTTGTTTTTGTACATAAATGTATAATTTTAATGTTTAAAACCAATTTAATAAGTATGATTAATGATAATTTATTATTGTCTGGAATCAAAAGGGTTTACTCAAAATGAACAAATCAGTTTTTGTGTCTCCTGTAAAATTTCAAAAATGTACTTTTTGCTCCAAGGTGAAACATATTTAAATAATTCACCCCTCAAAGTAGTCATCATCCCAAAAAACATATACGGTAATTTAAAAAAATTGAAAATCAAAAAGAGCCTGGAAGTCAAAATACTACTTTGTTTACATTTTGCTACATTTATTCTCTAAATTTTTCAGTTAACAAGCATCTTACATGCTCTAAAATATTCATGTTTTTCCTTTCTAAAGAAGTAAAATATTATTCGTCTCCGAGGCATAATTCGCCTTATATTAAATGATGTTACACATGTACACACATTTTCTTTACCATAATGAACTTTGAAAACTGACACACAGGCCGTCCAACCGACCAGACGCTCTTGTAAATGGACACTTAAAAAAAAAGAACATTAAGGGTAAAGGTAACTACAAAGACGGTCGTAATTAATAAGAATTATCATAACAAATGAAGGTCCTCCCATTTGCCCGGATTGACGGACAGAACAACGAGCTCCTTTTATACTTTTCTAAATTTCGTTTGTTGGGGTGAGAAGATATTTCATTTGATAATTAAATATGTTTACCACATATTTTAACGTGGCATTATTTGCGTAAAACACGAAAAATGTTATCATCACACTGTATGCGCAATGAAAAAGTGATTTTTGTTTACACCCCCCCCCAAAAAAAAAAATATTTTCGATATGTGATAAATATAGAATATTACATGTATATTACGTAGCTTTATTTATAAATGTATTGAATTATAATATGATGCTCGCATACTATAACTTTATTCAACTCGTTCTATAAACTCAGTATTAAACTTACGCTCGTACAATACCGTGAACAAGTTATTTTATACTTTAAACATGTACAACCCATACTCGTGTGACTTTTTATTATGTTCTGATAATAAAATGGTATACCTATTTTATAACTAAGTCTTTGTTCTTAACATATATATCTGATATATAACGAAAGAGCCCAATATCAATTTCTTAAACAGTAAACAGAGAATATGTGACAGTTGAAATAACACCACAAGGAGATGCATAATCTTTCTCAAATATACTTCATACAGTAGTACAAAACTCATATAGGCTGTTGAGTCAGAAAAGTGAAAAAGAAATTATGAATGATGTCTCACTCTCATTACTTACAATTTAGCTGTGGAGCGTCGAGATGGATGTGAGATGATTTACTGGAGTCGTGGAAATACACACATTTATCCGGTCTCAGCTGACTTAAACCAATCCTTACACGTACTGCATCTTTAAAGTTATAATACCGTTCAACGATGATATTTTACCCTACAACTTAGTTTTCAGAAATTATCACCTAAATCATAAGTATATCCTCATTAATGATGAACTGCTATACAATTTTAATCTTATTTCGCCGAAACACTCGGATGCAACTGGATATAATATCGCCAGTTTTTGAAATCCCCGCCATTTGTAAAAGCTCTCGGGCCCGATCGGTTTCATTCGGAATTAACTCATTTGCATACGGAAAAGTTCGGAAATGCTATAATTAGAAACAAGTTCGGAAACGCTATAATTAGAAACGTCAACAAACTTGCGACCCCGATATTAGAGATTTAATATAAATGAGGGATGCAATTTTATTTTATGTTTTGTAATTAATAAACGATATGAAAAGCTATTTATTAGCTAAAGAATGTAGCTTATATCTTCGTAACGCGTTAACAATCGGAGACTCTCCCTTGATCAGCTCAAGAAGATGGAGCGTTGGTCATGTCTATGTCGTACGGTTGCTGTGGTTATTTCAACTTATTTGAAATCGGTAAATTAGCCGTTCTTTATGATCGCTTCGAACCAGAAATAATACGTACCAACCTATTGCCAAGCTTCCATCGTAGTAATATGGCATACAGTAGTGTGCGTCATGTAAATATTATGAAACACAGACACTTGGGCTTTGGTGCTCAATCTGTATTATATTATAGATGTTGAAATATGATTTTTTTTCAAAACGGCTTATATTAAGTTGTTGTTTTTTTTATTTTAAAGGCGTTTTGAGCTCCAAACCCAAGTGTCTGTGTTAGGAAATTATAATGAAAAGAAATATAATTTGGCAATCTGGTGTAATAACCTGTATAGGGTGTTACCAGATTAAATAACCAGTCAACTGCATGCAAAAGCCAATACATATTTAACATCTACAGACTCAACCGTTTGATATATGATAATGTATAATTATACTTCAATTTATAAGAAAACAAGAATGGAAAAAGGACCAAGTTAAAGTTCTGATGCCTATAATTTTGAAAATGATCACTCAAGACCTGATTTTTATGTTAGCCTTTTGTAAAAGTGCACATTATGGAGAATCATGTACTAATGAGAATTTCATTCCAATACAAACACAGTGCAACCTGTGTAAATAGTATTCTGTTAACAATGAACAGTTGCATTCCACTGAAAATAAGATTGCCAAGAATTAAATCCTCATCTCTGGATTATGTACACCGGTATGGCATTAAACCATAAATTTCACCACTTTATGTTCAAATGTTGAATTCTGCTAAGCTGGTGCTAGGGGGGCATGGAAGGTAACTTGCACTTTCCAACAGGCTCACCAAATAGAGCCTGCAACAGTTTCAATTTTGTCATTTTGGGCTTTCTGCAGAAATTCTTTATTTCTCTATTTTCTGATGTCAAATGTACTTTTTTAAAATTTAAATAAGATCACAGATTGTAACAATGTTTTACAAATACCTTTCAATGTTAATTTACACTCCACTTCTCTTAGCACGTTTCAGGACACATTTTGGAATGTTGTTAAAATAACAAAAACACAGATAAATTGAAACATGTATTTGAACATTGGCAGTAAAACAACAATAAAATATTTTCAAATGAACAGCATATCTTCTTTTTCTTACTCTCAAAATAGTACAACAGTGACTTCTTTATAGTTATAGTTTTATTTTTTATTCAATCCATGCTGTCTTAACAGGAAGAGAAAGTGTGAAGATGGCCAATATTGTAGAAGGAAATAAATAATATCTTAATTCCAACTAAATTGTATGAACTTGAGCTAACCCCTTATGGGTTTCTGGCGATGAAGGATATTATGCTTAAGCCATTGTGACCTTAGACCTTATTAACTCCAAACTAATGCTTAATTACTAATCTAAGCAATGTCCCTGGAGATGTTCAAAACCTTGGGACAATGAGTTTACATGTCACTGAGACCTTGAACTTATAATCAAATGGACCAATCTTAAAACTAATGGCAATGCCATCTTGAGCTTTAAATCTAATTACCTCAAAATCAGTTGGTGCCATTATCTGGGGAAGGGCAATGTTCCTACCAAGCCTAAAAACTTAGGCTTACCCCTGAATGTAAAATATTGTTTGTTCCCGACTCCCGCAACCTACCTACAAATAGCACAGCTACCTAACATATCTTATTGCCCAGGATTTGTTTACTAAAATGAAATCAGAGTGTCAATGAGAATGACATCTTTTAATTGTCTCGAGATTTATTAATTGTAAATATACAAATGTTGGGATATTTGTTGATTGAAACTGAAAATATGGTTCTGAATTTTTTAAGTAAAACAGATGCTTTCATGCATTCACAATTTGTTTGAACTACATATAATTTAATGAAAAATAAAACAAGACAAACATTTTGAATAACTAGGAATGTGTCCATAGGACACGGGTCCCCCTACGCGCCACTGTTCTGTCAATCTTATGACTCTAGGTCAAATATTTTTTGAAAACTAAAAATCTTTTACTAAGTAAAGGGCAAGAACTTTACAAATACTAAATAAATTCACAAGTAAACCCCAAGGTGCATAAGTACATATGCTGACCAACATTCTTTTAAACATTCAGGTCTACAAGTGAAATACTTTCTGAGCTATGCATGAACAAGTTGAAAATTGTAAATTATTCGAAAAATTAAAGTGAACCTGTAGTAGCCACTCCTATATTGTCTTTCTTATTTATATTTTATCCCTGTAGGATATTAATTATGGAGTTAAATGATAAATTATTTATGTTTGGCTGAATGAAATGAAAGAAAACATAAATACTTTTTGAGCTATGCATGAACAAGTTGAAAATTGTAAATTTATACTACTGTTAGTCAAGGGCAATAACTCTAACAAAACTGAAAAAAATCAACATGAAAGTCCCAGGTTCATAGCTTCTCAGTGATGTTTATCATTATTCCGGTTTGTTGATTCTCACTTAAGCACTCAAGGAACAAATAACAACATAATGAAACGTTTTTTACTAAGTCAAGGAAAATAACTCTACAAATACTGGATAAATCCACAAGCCAAACCCCAGGTGCAAAACTAAATATGCTGAGCAACCTTCCCGTAAGGTTTAATGACTCAATGTCAAATCCTTTTTGAGTTACATGTGACACAAGTTGAAAACTGCAAAATTTTACCAAGTCAAGGGCAATAACTCTAAAAATCCTAAATAATTCCAGACGAAAATACCCAGATGCGCAACTTCACATGCTGATCAACATTCTTGTAAAGTTTCATTACTCTAAGTCAAATACTTTTTTAGTTACATGCGACACAAGTTGAAAATTGCAAAATTTTACTAAGTCAAGGGCCATAAGTCTCAAAATACTAAATCCAGACGAAAATACCCAGGTGCACAACTACACATAATGTTCAACATTCCTGTAAAGTTTCATTGCTCTAGGTCAAATACTTCTTGAGTAACATGCGACACAAGTTGAAAATTGCAAAAATTCAATGACAGTAACTCTGAAAATACTAAAAATATCCAGATGAAAATACCAAGGTGAACAATTACACTTGCTGATCAACATTACAGTAAAGTTTCATGACTCTAGGTGAAATACGGACGGACGGACAAGGGTAAATCTAAATGCCCGTCACTAAAGTGGGGGCACAAAAATAAATATTTTATCAGCCCACCTAACCTATCTGAACTGGAATGGGATGAGGGAGTAAATACAAAGATAATTTTAAGGCTTGCCTTGTTTGATTGAACAAGGATTATATATAAAATGCCCCTATGTCATTGGCTTAATAAACTAGATTGGACTACAAACAATTCATGGACTAATAACAACTAGATCTCCGCGAGTCGGATGTGTTGCCTTGTGAACAATATAGTTTAGGAGAAATGGCCAAGACAAAAATGAAATATGAAAATTAACAAAGGGCAATAAAGTTTAAGCCACTAATAGCAAATAACAAGCAAAGCCAAAATTTAGACATTTAACCTTGAAGGTCAAGGTCAATTATGAATGAAGGCCAAGGTTAGACAATACACCAAGAACTTTAAAGTTATGAACAAGGTTCAAGTTTGCAGAAGGCAACGGCAGCAACCTCTATTTCTTTTTTCAAAAAAAAAAGAAAAGCTGAGCTAAAGTGAATTACATAGTACATGTATATCAAAAGATATAATTGAATAATACTTTTAACTTCGTTACTACATTAAAGCTCATAGCAGCACTTATAGTTTAATAGATTGGATAATATTTTGCACTTGTATAAAAAGTAGTCATTTTTCTGACAAAATATTAAAAACAGACCTTGAGTCATGACAAAAGATAGATACAGTGCCATATCTAAAAAAGATATTTCATAAAACTATCATGAATACCAGGTGTTCAATGTCAGCTTAAATATGTTTTGAATAGTTGGGCAATCAGTGTAACACACTATTTATCATTCTTTTCCATAAAAAGTCAATCATATCTTGATTTATGTTCCTCATGAATGGCTCGGGTAGGCTTCGGGCTAACTTGGGCCAAATATTTTGAAAGTATGTGGGGGTCATCTTCCTCTAACTTTCTATTTTATATATCCCCTCCATGTCACTAATTTCTCAGAGTTATAGCATCATGAAAAATGGTATAATGATACTTTTTTTCTTCTTCTTTAATTCCTCCAGACTCGCTGAAGTCTGAAATGAGAAATTAACAAGCCTGTTATAACAAAAATCATAAGTGTATACAATTCTCAAAATGCATTACATGTAATTAATGTCCTCAAAAATTTATTAGTCAGGTCAGGTCAGAGACTGCAAAATCTCTTTTGATTGAAATTAATATTATATAGGCAATATAAATGCATAGTGATCACACTTATAATAAAAATATCTTATAATTCATAGAGGCAGGAACATTTAATACTAAGATATGCAGCATTTATATTCATATGCAAAAATGAAAAAAAAAATGTTGAGAATCTATATGCCCAAAGAAGATAAAGCACAACATTTTATTTAGGTTTTGCCTCTTTATATGTTTGAAGAACTGACATCTTTCTATTGAAATAAACAAAGAAACATGCTACATCCATATTAGACTCAGTACAGAGTACAACTACATCTATGTTGAACATTATTATAGTTCCAAACAATTCACTTTATTAACACAAACTGGACACTGTTTTCTTTCATTCTGTAAAATTGTGAAACATTACATGTTGGAGTTTTGTAAGTAGCATACCTAACAGATCCCCCTTGTTGGTGATGTATGGTCTATTTGCATGTATATTATAATCTATGGCTGCAAGAAGATTGTGCATCCTATAAACAGGTGGTGTGTAAGCAAATCTTTTGGTACAATACATCAAGATGTGCTGTTGAAACCCCTACATGCCATCTGTACTTCTAAAAATGAATACAAATAATGGAAAGATATTTTCATTTAAATGATTTTAGTAAGGAAAAATCCTTTAACATTAACATATTCATATGCTAGATATAATCTCTGTATGTAAATAATTATCTTTGAAAAGATTTTACACAGCTCTATCCTTCAATTGATAAGTGCAATAAAGGTGCCAATTAATTTATACATAATGGTTGTAGGTCCATTTGCGTTAACATATAAAGGTGCTGTAAACATTGAACATTCTATAATCAATAGACATATGAGCTTTGTATTAATCAGGACATATACTCCTTTCGAGTTAGGAAAATAAATCCTTTTAAAAATTTCACTCCAAACTGCTAGCATATCTTAACAAAGATAGACATATCTCCTTTGCAGAATTAATGGTTCCAACATTGGAGCCATTGGCTTCAACTTTTTTGATTGGCCAATCTGGTGGTGCAAACTAAAATTGCTCCAGGGGGAACCCTGTCAATATAAATTTATTTTATTGTACCTGATGAGAACATACCTGCAGTTGAGATATTATGTCATCTTATTCAGAACGCCAGCCAGATCTTTCAGACTATGTGCATCTTATTTCCTTTGCAGCCAAGGTTTGTTCTGGTTTCTAATGGGCCATGATTGTACTAGGCATTGGTGTATTCCATCATCTGAAAACAGAATCCATTCATGCTCAATAACTATAAGATTGATGCAGACACTTAAATATATTATTCCCTGAAATAAAATATCAAGACAAATAAGCATGCATTAAAAAATGGCAAAGAAGTCAGCCTTCAACAAGTTTTATGAAACATTACTAAGCATTTCACATTTATTTTACATATAAAATGCTTACCATAAACCTATGAAGTATTCCACATTATGCATCAAAACATCTTGCATGCATTAATTTTCTTGCAACAAATGACAATTATGTATTGCTATCTAGAATTTTATCTGAATATTTCTTGAGCAACAGAATAATCATATAAAAATATCAAACATTCAAACAAAATCAAATACATAATAATTGTTTACTTACCATGAAAAGTTTATAGTCTGTAGCAGTTTTATAACTAAACCAGAAATGAATGGTTGTGTCTCAATTCAACTCCAAAAGGATTTTATTGGCTTTCTTTAGTGCTACCTGAAGATTAAACCATAACTTGCTTAAGATTTAGAAGAAAAAAAATCAATTGTGGAATTCCTTTTCATTTTAGCAAAAAATATTCTACATAAGAATTGTATATATTCAGTCTTCACCAACATTTACTATAGGATATGAATCTGCCAGTGCTAAATTCAATGACTGCTTTCATAAGAACATGTATGCTCCCCTGTTTAACAATTACACTTTGTCATGATAAGCAAGTCTTTCAAGTTTCATGTTGATACATTTCAAAATATTTAAATAATGCAATTGTATGCCAACATAGCAATCTGACATAGAATGTAATAGCTTTGAAAAAAAAAAAGCTAGAAATTAGTAATTCATGATGTTTGATTGTAACTAAGAAAGTATACTCCACTTTTGAGGAATCTGTAACTATTTTGTTGTATGGTCTGAGAATTGACTACATAACTGAATCCTTTCCAAAAACCATATATGAGCCGCGTCACGACAAAACCAACATAGTGCGTTTGCGACCAGCATGGATCCAGACCAGCCTGCGCATCCGCGCAGTCTGATCAGGATCCATGCTACTTGTTATAGGGTTTGTAAGCGAACAACATGGATCCTGATCAGACTGTGCGGATGCGCAGGCTGGTCTGGATCCATGCTGGTCGCAAAACCATTATGTTGGTTTTGTCATGACGCGGCTCATATATATTTTTTCACAAGTGGATTTAAGACCTATAATGACACTCTATTATTTTTTCACCTCAGTGAACAATTACCTATAATAATATTATGGAGTCATAAAAATATCAAACTCATCATTTAAGATGACACCAAAAACTTTCAATTGGACCAAAATTAACCATGTAATGCATGTTTTTTTTCTTCTTCTAATACAGTATTATATGCCACTTAAAAAATGTCATTATTGTTTAATATTTAAATCATATGAATATCTGATCATGATATATATGGATCACATGTTGACATGTATATATCCATTAATTGGTTCAATAAACTAATAAAAAAAAACATGAATTCAGCAGTATTTAAGATTAATCAGTTTTTATATGAATTATATAAGTAAATTAGTTATGCAAGTATATAGTTATATAGCAATTTTGAAAGGTATTATTATAACCTGTCACTTTCAACAAAAATGGTGTACTTACTCTCCTCTGCATATGCACTGAAGTCCAGGTCATCTTTGATGTCCCTGGTAGTGGTATTGCAACACATGATGACGATGAAATTGATTTATTACATGCTTTTCGGTGGTTTATAGAAATATATCAGTGATATAAAACTGGTAATTTCACTGTTTGAAACAGTGAAATTACCACTTTGATAATTTCACTGTTTTGAATTTAAGCCCCTTACGTTGTTTCAGTGAAATGTCAGCGTGTACAGTACTGGGTACCAACTTAATGACGTGACGTCGTAAATGACGTCACGTTGTATTATTATTTGCCGCGCATTTCATTCAGTATTAGGTTTAATGTCTTTTTAAAACGTTTCTTTGCATGTAATAAAAAGAAAATTTGTTTAGTTTAGTGTAAGATTGAAATATATTTCACCTTGTGAACACCAAAAGTCCATATTTCACTCGTGGCTGCGCCACTCGTGAAATATACCTTTTGGTGCTCACTCGGTGAAATATATTCCGATCTTACACTGAACTAAACAAATATCCTCTATTTATTTCTGTAATTGAAAATATAGCATACTAGTACCATGGCCTAAAATCTTGACTATTCAAACCAATTACAATACATGAATTGCTGCACTGCTTATAAGGAAGAAGGGTTGTCAATAAGAATTATCTAACCTTTCCAGCACAATTATGGTTATTGTCCATGATTATTTTTCAAATTGTGAAATGCTGAAATTTTACTGCAAAAATGATTTCAAATGAGACAAAAATATTGATTTTTGTGCGATTTTCCAGACAACATTTTATTTTTTCTACTTTATTTCTTTGAAGATTAGACAACCCTGGATATATCAATATATCAGACTTACGGGCTTGTTATTGTTTAATTGTCGGTCAAGGTGGCCCAAAAGCAAAAATATCTCAAAATCAAAGGACGTCACATTTATAGGACTACTCTTGATAGTTGAACATGCTTTGAAGAAATGCCTGTTCTGCTAGTCAATAGTTCTAACCCTTTTTGAGACACATGTGGCTAATCTATTTCACAGCATTGTAGTTACTATACAGTACAGCTTACAGTAAAAAACAATAATGTGATTGGAAAATAAAAGTTATTCAAAATATAATTTTGTTGTGTCTTGAATGATTCTTAAAAGATAGTGATTGGCCATCTTAAACGATATTACAATGGTTACAATGAACATACGCCATAAAATTGTAAAGGATTAGGCTCAGCCGATCTTTTATTTAACCTGTTAACAATTTATTGGTACGAAAATTACAGTGAACGAAAACTTGATACACAGACGTGGATCTGCAAGCTTAAATAATTTCTTTATCATAAGTCAAAACCATCCTAAAATTAAAAAACTATAACACAATATCTGTGTTTATATATTCGTAGGTGAAACTTTTCTATACCAAGAAAAAATTAAATGCAAACAAAAACGATGATCACCTCACCTGTCAATCAGATATAGGCTCAGCCGATCTTTTATTTAACCTGTTAACAATTTATTGGTACGAAAATTACAGTGAACGAAAACTTGATACACAGACGTGGATCTGCAAGCTTAAATAATTTCTTTATCATAAGTCAAAACCATCCTAAAATTAAAAAACTATAACACAATATCTGTGTTTATATATTCGTAGGTGAAACTTTTCTATACCAAGAAAAAATTAAATGCAAACAAAAACGATGATCACCTCACCTGTCAATCAGATATCAACTTCACGGTCGCTTTTGGTTTTAATTACCCTTTTTAGAACTTTTCATCGCTTTGAATCACTACCGGAGTATATCCTTGATTGAATTAAATCACAGTTTCTTTCCACTTTTCGCTTTTTCCTTTTCCAATCTCAAAATTTATTTCTCGTGTACGTGACACACCTTTCGTATTGTCCGCCATTATTTTGGTTTGGTAAATCATATCACGTGACTCAGATCCGAACTTTTACGGAAATAATCGAAGGGCTTCCCGCCAAAATATAAATCTTATTTGACTGAACCCAGTCAAATAAGAAAATGCATTTTTTAGAATGGTCAGAAATGTTACAGAGAGCGTTTCTAAGTTGGAAAATTTTGTCAATACTAATTAAATAATGCATTTGATAACAATAAGGCGTTAATTTGACAATCTGTTTTGATGAATTTGACCAGGAATATAACTTTAAAAACATGTTGATATTTCTATATTCAGCGATATTTACTTTTTAGTTTAAGCACTGAAATCAGTACATTTTCAAATACGAGTACACTTGTCACTTATAATTGAAAATATACCGGTATTTTTTTTTTATTTATAAAAATTTCATTTTAGGTTATTCTAATTCAACTATAAGCACATGTTTTATATTTTTATATCAAAATCCCCTTAAACTTAAAATATGGACTGTTCAAGGTATATCATTACACAAATTAGGAAGATTAATGAGTAAATATCAGATGTTTGTTTCGCATTTATTATGTGCAAGATACTTCTTATATGACCAATATGTCTTATTTTATTTTCATTTCATATGTATGATATAATTATATAAATACATGTAGATAAATTTAGTTTCATACATGCATGATTGCACAGACGATGCTACACAATTGAAAGATAAAAAATAATGAAGATACTGATAACAATGCCATGTGTGCGAGCATGAGTTTATCTAAACGAATAAACAGTGATATATACTTGTTATATACATACCTTCAAGTGAATCACAGTCGCGAAATAAATTCCCATATTGCTCAAACATGTCCAACTCGTACTCTTCAAATTCTACGTTATTGTTTGAAGTTAACATATTCGTGTTATTCCCCGGAAGTTGAAAATAACGCCGCACGAGGAAAAGAGGGGCATGATAAAATGCTTCAGTTTTAACTTGACTAAACCGTGCTGGTGAATATTTACCAGTAACGTTCGGTAGCAAATTTATTTGAAAATAAGAATCCGTGTCAAAAGGGAGAAACACAGTTGTCCATTTTGACTCCTGAACCATTTGAAGAATTTTCTTCCTATCAAAAGTTCTATATTCCCAATAGTCAGTGGTCAAAGCTAAAATTAGTAACACGCACGTATTTCCGGTAAATATCAAACTACTATAATCACATATTTTCATTTTTTTCTGGTTTCATAAATTTGTATATTTTTCTGTGTTATACAATCTATACATATTCTTAAATTTGTTTTATTGACTATGAAAAATAATCGCTTTGAACCCCTTTTTTGTTTTGTTTAACATTTACTTCATTGTATGTACAGATATAGATATAACAGAAATATGAACTTAAAAGACTTTATTGTGACAGAGGCACTGATTCATTACTCATAATCAAATATGTAAAGGCAACGGAAATTGCAAGAGAGAATCATTTACCAGTGCTTCGTACAAAACAAATGGGACTATTTTGATTATTGTGAAAACGATATGTCATTCGTTAAGACAAATCGGCAAAGAAATATAAAAAATGATATGTAGTGATATATTTGAAAACACCTACAGCTTGCGATTAGAAATTAAAATTGGCTCTTCCTGGATGATGCATCAAGATAATTTGCTATGAACATGTGAGTTAATAAACAAAATAAATAGTTGAGTAAATTGTCAGAAGCATCTTTTATGATGTTTTTTTCGACTTCATTGACAGAAACAGCTGAAATTATTATGGCAGTTTACAAATACTCATATAAAGTATTATTTGACAAACAATACAATATAAACAATTATATCATCGGTGTGCAAAGTCTAAATGTTTTTATAATCTAGTTTTCAATATCTTGAAAGTAAAGTTGAGATCATTCTCTTTCATTCGTGTAAACAAATACAAGGGGAGGAATCACGCCGTTCGTTACCCAAACAAACAAGATGGCGGATGAAGCCAAAAAGTAGGTTTTCCCTTTTTTCTCTGAAATTCATGATGTTCTTATGTAAAGGTACATATAACAACCTTCTACACAATTTTCCTGGCACACAGAAATGTATTTCATGGTGTTTCGTCCCGTACTTCTTCTGAAATGCGCGTCACCAGATTCGAAGCGAGAGAATTTTCCACCGGTTTGATCGTGGTAACGTACGGCTTCTTCACTCAAATTCGCTGTTTCTTTACATATATGTATATTAACTGAAACCACTGACTTTAAAAATTTGTAATATGTTGTCAAGTAATCATTCATGACCATTTTGGCTAGATTTACTGGTGTAAATATTAATATCGGGGCATTTTCCGGAAATGACAACGTATGGCGTATAAAATATCAATGATAACGTACGGCGCATTTTTCTACTTGGTGGATTTCTATTTGTCCAGTCAGCTGATAATAAATTATTTTTATGTAGGAAATGATAGATATTTGAAACAAAAAGTTTGCCATTTCAGAAATAAATTATTGAACAATGCTGCACCATCGGGTATCAAATATCTTTCTAGCTGGTGGCATAAAAGATATTCGTTGTAAAATATACTAAGTAAAACACACGTTTATAGTTTGAGAATATTTTTTTGTATAAAATGCAGAATGGAAAGAAAAGCCTCCACTTTTAGGAAACATTTGTGTATTGTTGTCTTCACATTAAATTTCGCCAGTGTTGTGCGATAATTATGGTCTTATCCCCTTATCAGAAAGAAGAAATGCATTCACCAGAGCAAAAATGTTAAAATGGTACGGAAGACTTGATATATTTTCTTTTCCAAAATTACTTTAACAAAATTACTGATAAGAAAATCTTAATATTTGAACCACGTCAAACATAAACAAAACGAAAAGTGATTGCGACTAGCTTTACACCCAGAGGAGATGAGCCTGTGTTTATACAACCTGGTCGCTCATTAAAAGAAAATTCATAAAAAGAGAATAATGAATGAGTATAGGTTCTATATTGAATTTATTGAATTAGTTAGAAAATAACGTTTTGCGAAAAAGTTCAATAAATTTATTAAATAAGAAATTTCCAGTTTATTTGACGAAACGTTTTCTATTTAGCGTGACGTTGTGCCACTATGACGTCAGATATATTTGCACGACATATCCGTACAGTTTTTTATTATAAATGATTTGATCAAAACAATTACATAAATTTTGGTATTTCATATTTTGGTTTTTTTCTCTCGCAAACGCCCCAACAAAAACAATCAATCTC